TCTACTTGCATTGACAACAAAGGAATTGTTTGAGAAATCAATTTCTATCATATAACGTTGTATAAAATGAAACTGTTAGCGGGAAATTCTGATTGACATAATATAGGAATGAAGAAAACGTGAGAATTTCCTATCAAAAATAGAAATATATAGAAACTACCTTTGAAACGATATGATGACCAAAACAAAAGTAAATATCAATTTTTTTTTCTTTCATGTATATTTTTTAAATAATTGTGAAAAATACTTTGGTGTGACTTTAGATACACACAATGGATGCACTCGATTCTCCTTATCACTTGGTTTCAATACATCACTGTCTCGTGGTAACGTTGTATTTGTTGTTATTTTTAACACCATTTCATTGTCATCCCAATCGATTCCCTCTGCCACATCCCAAACAAACGGAGTGTATTCCATGGTCGATGTTTCAACATCAAGCGTACTAGTTTCGGCAACAAATTCAAATGATTACATTTTAAATTCAGGCATATTTATTTGGACACATTGAAAAAAAAAACATTTTGTGACCAGTGTGAGTTGGCATGTGTGTTTTCAATTGACACAAATACGAAAAGAATTTACGACACATTGATATTATTTCTCGCGCGTGTTGCCTCGCCGGCTTCGCCGCCGCCGTATGTTGGTGCATTCAATCCATGACGTTTATTTTCAGCCAATGAGAATGATTGACCATACGTTGGCATGCCGAGTACCAATTTCCTTGGATCGGTACCTTTTTCAATCCAGAAGATGATTGTAAAATTTGCATTGAAATTTGGTTTGACATCCAATGGATGGGAATACATTGGTGCGACATCACCTGATTGAACAAAATAAAACGATATTAAAATTGAAACGAACAATATTCGAAATAGAATTCGTACCAGTTATTTTATGGTCAATGGGACCATGATAATCGTAAGCCACAACAGCAATCCAATCGAAATACTGCGATAATGGTGATACGGCCGATGAGAGGAGCGAACCTCTTGGTTTGAATGCTTCAGACACTTCACGTACGAATTGAGCAAAGTATTGCTTTTCATCGGCATGACCTTTGTTACACTCGACTTGCCAACAGACTAAGAAATTATATAGAAATTATGGTTTAATTTTTTAACAAATAATTTTGGTAAAATTATTTTTATTTACCTGGGTACTAGATGAAATAAAACAATGAATAACATGGGAAAAAATAATCAAATTAAAAAAAATCATTGTTTATAATTGGTATGACTGATGCCTACCTCCCAATTCAGATCCAATCCATCGAAATTGTGCTTTTCAATAAATTCAACCACACACTTAATGAATCGAGCACGTGCTTCTGCATCACGAACCAAAAATGAATATTTATCGCCAGCACTGTCATTTCAACCTATATATGATTCGGAGCAAAATCTCAAATTAATACCGGCTTTTCCACATAGAATAACCAACAAAAGTCTCACCAGCAATAGCCACTGTAACTTTAACACCTTTCTTTTTATACGCAACGACTCGTTCGTAGAAGTGATTATCGAAGTCGGCCCATGTATCATGTGGTTTGATTGTTAATGAATCACGGTCGAGTACAGCAAAACCATATACGATATGTGTGCACAATTTTGCATCAATATCTTCTGGTAGATATTTTCCACCGCCCTGACGATACCATGTCTATTTTGATTTGACTTACAATTGTAATAGACGTTATTTAAAAGACGTTTTTTTACTTACCCATTTTGTGAAGTAGCAAACGACTTTGAAATCAGACTCTTGTGATGATGGGACATTTAGTTCGCCGCTTGTCATTTCAATAATCGAACCTTCGTTTGATTTTCTTCGATGATTTCGGCTGCGTTATCTGGTTTCGGACCTTCCGTTGTTGGTTCAATCACAGCTGTATCTGGACATTCATCGGTTTGACTTGATGGTTCTGCCAAAACTGATTTCAATTCTGTAAGGAGGGGATGTACACCTTCACCACAATGATCCTTGAAATCATCCAAGTCGAGCGCCCAAATCATTCCACCGCCTAGGCCAAGTCGTCGCATAAATTTTGCTTTACGGCGAACCATCGCTTTGTCATCGAATGAAACCCATTGGTTTCCTTTGCAAGCGTATGGTCCAATACGATGTTTTCGATCTTGAACAACTGTCCATCCTTTGTTATTGATACGATCACAAATCTAAGTAAATGGAGTAATCAGACTAAATAAGTAACAGAAAGAAATGATGATGGAAAAATAGGCTTATTACTTACTTCATAATAAGCAAGAAAGCACCTTTGTTGATCGACGGCAAACTTTTGATTTAATTGTTTTACGTGGAACGCTGGCTTTCGGTGATAATCCACATAATCCTCATCAATTATCTCAATTTCGATCATTTTCGCATGATTTTCAATGTTAATGATCGATGATTAAGGTCGTTCGTCATTCATTTGACTATCTTCCTCCGAATCGTATTCTGGTTTATAATTGACCAAAGCAAATGGTGATGTGGCTTGGTTACGCGATCGTAAAATGCGAATGTCCACTCGACACTGTAATGGTTCGTCATCGTCATCAGATGATAAAGGCTCACTTTTTATGTGCACAGCTCGATAGCGAGTATTGTACGTTGTGATCCTTTCCGGGCTATCGTTATCATCCAAATCAATAAAGTCCGGCTTTGTTTTACCATTTCGTAAATTCATTGTGGCTAAAAGAGAAAATGTGAATGTTTAAAAAAACACAGAAATCTTGAAGTATCAAGGATGGATCTCATTAGATGAAAGTGTTTGAATAGTAAAAATAATATCAAAATTAGCTGATTTTATTCCATATGATTGCTTTAAAGAGAAAATGAATCTTCCGTGGAAGTTAACACGTGCTTTTAGTTTGTACTTTTTAGTTTGTACTTTTCCTTAAATATTTTAATTTGCGTGGCAAATGTGTAACAATACAATTAGATGCGAGATATTAACGATTTTTTGTTGTGTCAGTTATTTGAACGGTGCAGCTGTTTGAACGGTGTCCACGTATCATTTAATGAAACAAGCGAAAAAATTCAAATAATTCTTTTTTAATTCTGACATTTGCAATTTGTTTAGTATAAACGTAGACACACGCACACATTCAAGAAAATCTAGAGATGTCAAACGAATGCTGTCACTTTTAACCTCAGACCATATAATAAATGCGATAGGTAGCGCTGTTTCGGTCGCCAAACTTACTGTCAAATGCCGTCAAATGTTTATTTATCATTATGTTCTGTTGTAGACAACAAATAAAATAATTAAATGTTTGTTCTATATTAAAGTTGAATATTATTTCAGCAACTATGGAAAAAAGTATAGAAAATCGACAAATGGAAATAAGATAAGTCATGCGGTCTGTTTTATTTCCGCAAAATCATTTCAATCGAATCAAAATTAAATACAGGTAACTTTAAATTTTTTAATCATTAGATTTATCGATCATAATTATAAAAAATTGCATTGTAGATCCTTATGAGTTTGCAAAGAATAAGACGCTTATTACAGGATTGGCATTTTCACCCGATGGTAAACCTGAGTTTTTGAGGAGACATTGGCTCGATAAGGTACAACAAATAACCAAGCATGATCTATCGATCTTGGAATTTAGAAGAAAGTAAGTAAATCGATTTGATTTGAGTCACACGTTTTTTGAATATTTTTTATTTCTAATTTTCTTGTGGTTTAATTTCATTTTTTATTGAACAATGATTGGCGTAAAACTTGTAAACATTGAAACAAATTGTTGCATAAGACTCATCAGAAAGGGAGATAATGTTCGACAATTGCCGTGGTCGGATTTGGTGTCAACTCGCAATAATTCTTGGAAAAATTATTCAATTTAAAATGCTAGTTTCAACTCAACGATGAATTTTTTAAAAAAAAGAAAAAAAAAATACAAAAATGTAATGAAAACTAAAGTTTTTTTTATACAGAATAAAGAATGGTAATGAAAATCATTTTTTTCTTCTTTTTGTTATGTTTTCGGATCTACAAAACTATCAAAAGAGGATATTAATGCAGTACCAGAGGGTCAAGGTAAGATAATAATTATACTAATTAAAAACAAGTCATCATTACATGTATAACTGTTTGATAGGATTCCAAAAATTGTACATCTCGGCAACTGTACATAAGACACGTGACAATAGTCATATAAGATTGTTTGGTGTCGATTTTTTTAAAAACGGATATTTCATCGTGTAATCAAAAGACTTATTATCTTTCAAACGTGTGATCTAACAGGTACTGAAGAATGAATTTCAGTCAACACTTCGTTATCACCCAAATACATTAATTAATTCAACATGAGAACGTGCTTCATAATTATTGTTCATTTGCAATGAAAATATTTGGAATATACAAAAATAAAACGCATTTATTAAACGGAGCAAGTGGAACGTTCCGAGAATGGTTTGTATGGTGAAGTATGTGTACGTGAATAGCAATGCACACTAATACACACATAGCCGTTGTACGGTCGTGTGTATACCGCACAGTGTAAACCATTTTCAGAACGTTCCGCTTGCTCCGGTTCGTTCGGTAAGTGAAACCAATGAAATTGTTCGGTTCATTTCACTGGCTATTTTTGTTCTATTTTTTTTGCTTTTATATTTTCATGGCATGTAAGAATTTAAACTTTGCTTGTACTTTGGTGAACCAAACACTTTATATTAATATAAAGAAACCTACAAAAATGCACCATTTCATTTGTTGACGGATCAAACTTACTATGTATCTATAAAGCAACTATCTCACTCACTCATATACACTCACTCATATTCTTGCACATCTTTTGTTTATTTCTCTTCTGAATTCTTTCCTTACTAATACAAGTAGATATAAGCGGACCTGTTCTCGGAAATTATGCGTGTAGACGAAAAAGTACCGTTAATCTTGTTGATTACTGTATGTAAGCATATTTTGCGTTCACCATTTAGCATTCAGTTTGAAATAATCCCTTGAGCTAGAAGCATCACGTAAAGCATCAGTCAATATGGCCAAAAAATTATTTAATATCGATGGTGAAATTTTCGAAGGCATGGAAGTTTTGGGAGCTGGCGGATTTGGCATAGTGATCCGGGCAAAGTGGTTATCAAAAAATGAAAAAGAAGTTGCCATCAAATTTGAACGCAAACGAAACCGTCAATCTGTTTGTGGAATTGAAACAGAAAAAGAGGTAAATAGATATAGTTTTTGAAATGAATTTTATAAAATTATTGCGCTTATTAATATATTATTATTATTATTTTTATTAACCTATATCAAGGTTTATGAAGTCCTAAAACATACGGACATTTTATGTGTCCCTTCAGCTTACATGTTTGCCGAGGACACAAATTTTCGATACATGGTCTTAAGCCTACTTGGACCGACTTTGAAGAAAATCTGGCTAGATGATTCCAAAATGAACGTCGTTGACATTGCGCTCAAACTGATTGATGCCATTGAAATCTTTCATTCAACTGGTTATGTTCATTGTGACATAAAACCCGAGAATATCGCCATGGCCATGACATCTGATCAGTTGATTTTATTCGATTTTGGCGTATCCAAGTATTTGGGGAAAGAGCAGTCGAAAAATGTGGTACCAGCTGGCTCCGCACTATTTATGAGCACTAATATGCTCAAAGGACAACTAACATACGCAAATGACCTGAAATCAATTGCTTATTCGTTGGTGCTATTACAAGGCAAACAATTGCCGTGGTCGGATTTGGTGTCAAATCGCAACAAAATGAACGAGCGCGATTTCTTGGAAAAATTACTCAATTTGAAAGAGAAGACAAACGACGAGATCCATAAAGGGATCGAGCCACCATTGCGTAAATTCATCAAACAAATAATGCAATTGAAAAATGACGTGAATTACACAAGCCTACGAAAAATGCTGGATTCAGCTCAATAATGATTTTTTTTTAAGAAATTAAATTACAAAAATGTTATGAAAGTAAAGTTTTTTTTATACAGAATAAAGAATGGTAATGAAAATCATTTTTTTCTTCTTTTTGTTATTTGTGTTGGAAAGATTGTATTTGTATATGGTTATTTTTTATTTTGATTCTCTACCCCATATTTTTTCAGCTTCAAATCGCTTGACTTGAAATAGAATAATTGTTGGAGCAAGTGATACGATTGTTATTACCCTCGCATATCTCTCTCTCTATTTACATATATTCAACATTATTCACTAGCCATTCCGTAAATTGTAATTCAATTGACAAATGGAAAATTCACAAATAAAACAACAAAGATTACAACCCAACAAGTGCATTTATGCGTTAATGCAACTCATTTGGTTGGAGTAAAAACCAGTACACAATTTTGTTTGCATTCGGGAAAAGGTCAGTTTTTTTACAAAATGTAATTCACAGTATTACTTCATTCACTATCGCTTTTATCTCCGCCAGTCAAACTTCAAACATTGAAACTTATTTTTGAATTATAAATTCCATTTTTCTTAACTTTGCTTTTTTATTAATGTTGTAAATGAAAACCAAATTGATTTCTTCTTGTGACATAGTTTTTTATTTTCATTGTGTATAATAAGATATTTTTGTGATGGTAATATTTAATATGTTCTTTTTTTATATTTTGTCAATATACATATTTTTTTGTTCACACACGATTAGTAATAATAGTAAACGGTTCAAAAACGGCAACAATGGTATATGACTTTTACTAATTTACTTTTTCATTTATTATTATTTTCATTCACATTCACAATTGGGAAATTGTCTCAACAATAAATTGTTAAACAATATATTATTATTGTTTGATTAAATCTATGTTTGGCAATAATAAAATGTTGTTAAGACAATACGAGGAATGTGAGATATTAATTAAACGTTTTTCAATTTTATTGAGTCAAATTATTTTGTGACAAAATAATTATGGAAATTCGACTTTATTATTGTATTAAACGACAGTATGGGCAAAACCATTCGCCACTGGGAACTGTTGACAATCGAATACATCGGACATGAAACCACTTGATTGCGCAATCTTCTTTATCGCATCCGATCATCAATCCATGTTCACCTTCTCGGCAAATGCATCATAATTCTCTTTCAGTGGCTGCTAAAGCGTTGAACCATGGGAAAAAAAGGGACAAGCAAAAAGAATTAAAAAAACACTATAGCAATAAAACAAATCTCTAGACAAATCTTGTGCCCAAAAAATCATAGATATACTTACGAGTTGCAATTGTTTGACGACGCAATTCAATCGGTCTTGGTTGCATTTCGACTTGAGGATAAACGGTGTTCCGACGACGAACAACTCGTCGTGCTCGTTTTTGTGCAATGTTTTTTTTTTGTTCAATGTTGAACATTTTCATTGCGACAGACATGGAACGCGTCACTAAGAATATTTTAATGATTATTTTTTTATATTTATTATTGTAGCTATTTATTTATTTGTTTTTCTTACCTCGAACATTTTCCTCATTTAATACATCTTGAATCCGTTTTGGGTTGCAAAGTGTTTTTAATGCAGCCTGCATTTTGGTCACTGAACGTGTTTCTAAAAGATTTATAAATAATAAAGATTACACATTCAACTTTTCTATTGTTATTTATTCGTTTTCTGAATTTATTTTATACACTTCACTTACGTGGAGCCATGTCAATAATAAAAATTCAATACAGAAAATCAATGAAAAAATAAATCCTTGCTCTATTTGAATTGACCAACTGATTCGATTGACGAACTTTACGGAACTAAAGTATATACGCATTATACGGTGTGCTCTGGTGTGCTCTGGTGTGCTCTGTGTAGACTGTAGAAGCTATTACCGTTATTTTCTAAGAAAAAATTGAATGTGACGGTGCAGCACAATAGATGATGAAATGGAAGCGAAATAGGCGACCAAAAAAGAGACAAAAAATACAGAAGCCGAATTCAGCCGAATTTTGACCGGATCAGCATATTTCATAATTTACTTGTTTGTGCAAGTTTGTGCAATTGTGTGTGCAAGTTCGTCAATCGAATCAGTTGGTCAATTCAAATAGAGCAAGGATTTATTTTTTCATTGATTTGCTGTATTGAATTTTTATTATTGACAATAAATTTCATTACAATAAATTAATCAGTTTTTCACGTGGCATCATCAATCAGTATTTCATCAAAATGAATGGTGTGTGTTAGATTTGAATGGGGTAGAATAAAAACTAATTCTCGAAAAATTGCTATTTTAAAACGAAACCTAAAAAAAATTTCAATAAAAAGTGAATCAATTTTTTTTTTGTCCAATTGAAGTGAATCAAGAAAATTTTGTTCAATAAAAGTGAACCAAAAAAAAAATTTCACTCGGTTTTTTCAGTGTAAAATACACTAAAATGAATTTTTTTTTGGGTTCACTTTTATTGAACAATTTTTTTCTGGTTCACTTCAATTGGATGAAAAAAAATTGATTCACTTTTCATTGAAAGTTTTTTTTAGGTTTCGTGTTTGTAATAAGATATAAACTGACACGGATGATTTTGAATTAATTTTA